CTCAAGACCCCAGGTTTCTATAGCCTTCCCATCTTGCTCATTATGTTGAAATTTTATTTAAGGAAAAAAAAAGACGTTATTCAGACAGCTTCCAACTCTCAGCTGCCTAAGTGGCCAGTGGAAGGAGTCTATTATTAGTATAGAGAATATGAGTATTCCTACTCTGAACATCGGTGTGAGTAAATGGTTAGAATGGGTCACTTGACTATTCTGATAAAGTACCTCATGTCGCCATGATGAAGAATTTGAGGTATGTATCTTGAGTTCTTTTATAAGACATTTCTCCCCTTTTCTGAGGATTATATAATCTGTGTAGTGAGTGAGGTAAGATAGGCGGTACGTACTGTTAACAGTTCTTGACTCCCAAATGCTGACATTTTGAACATGAAAAAAATAATCAGTTTGATGAGTTGCTTGACAGTTTTTGTGCTTTTTTTTTTGTTAAAATTTTAAAAGTGTGGGGTTTATGTATAAATACAAACTTACCAGCAGAACTCAGACATGGTTGATTTGTAATTTAGTTTTTTGTAACCCAGTTAAGTAAGTGACTGCCTCCTATTCAGGTGCTGGGTTGTATCTTCTCTTTTCTTTTTCCTCAACCAAATAAATAAAAGGACCTATTGTCCCTAGCCTACATTTTGTAGAGAGACACATTTCATTGCTCACTGTGGTAATTTTCTGTGTTGGGTAGTATGTAACAACAGTTTTCTGATTTGGAGGTCATTACTTCTGCTGGGTCAACATGGAGAAAAATGAATCATGTAGTTCTTGCCATATTCTTAACCCTGTTTAAAACATCTTCTTGACTAATCCCTAGGACTATGGGTCAAATAATGAGTCAGAAAATGAAATGAAGACTCTTAGATTTATTCTGATCTTAGGAAATAGGGTTAACTGCTAGACATTGCTCCAGAATACCTTTGGAACAAAGTGCGGATTTAAGGTTTGCTTAGGGTGTTTCAAACTCTTTTGAAATGTTTATCTTATTATGCTTTTTTCAGTTAATTGGACAGGAAATAATCTGCCCCTTGGGACTAGGTATGCCATATTTACAAAGTGACACATCACAGGAGTATTATTTGGTGTCAAAATAAAAAGTTCCCCTAACAGAGATGTCTTGGGAAAGAATCCTTTCTATAATTTACTGTTTGTTCCTTTGTGGAATTAGTAAATATTAACAGCAATAAGATTAATAATACTAGAGTGACAATTTATTTGGCATTAGAAAGGATAGATACAGTATTGCTAATATTTTCATATTCTAGCTATTTACCCTTTTGTTGACATTCATCTTTTACAGTGATAAATTTGTTTGGTAAACAGTACTGTAAATGAAAAATATTTCTAAGATTTATTATACCTTTTTTGCATTCTTAAACAGTTTAAAATAATATTTTAATGACCGACTCAATCTGAAGGTCATCATTCCCTTGTACTTAAGATTACTTTAAGGGCAATTTAAGATTATTATCTTTTACTTTTTTTTTCTTTAAAGATTTTATTTATTTGACTGAGAGAAATAGCAGGAGAGAGAACACAAGCAGAGGGAGTGGGAGAAGGAGAAGCAGGCTTCCTGCTGAGCAGGGAGGTGGACATGGGGCTCGATTCCAGGACCCTAGGATCATGATCTGAGCCAAAGTCAGATGCTTAACAACTGAGCCACCCAGGTGCCCCAAGATTATTTTAAGGACAGTTCGAGGTTTGCCTACAAGCATCAATCATAGTCACCCCCTGCCATTTAATTTTTCAAATTTTTTGCTCTTGCTGCTGGTTTTCATACCTCCCACAGGCCTTCCTTCCAGCAGCACTTTGTTGCTTGAACTCCTATAGGTGAGGTTGTCTTTAAGGTATATTCTTTAGTTTTGTGCTGTATGTTAGTATACTAGATCAGAGTTGTTAGAATCGTGTCTAAAACAAATGTAAGTCGATTCTAGGCAAAAGTATATTCTTTACTGTGTTTTGCTCCCCTTCCCCCCATTCCTGGTCTCTGCTGTGGTGCATGCATTTATGTAACTTAAAAAAAAATTTTTGGTATTTGGTATTGCAGGTCCATAACTTAGATGAGTATTTGCTGAATTAATTTGGATAAATGAGTCTTTCCTTTTGAGAATTGTAGAAATTTTCCTCTTCCATTTCTGCTTTAAGAAAGAGAAATGGAGATAGACTTGAACTTTGAATTCAGATAATTATTTCATTAGCTATTTCATTACAAGCTCATTTTAAATTATCAATCCATATTTGGAGGTAAATAGATATTCCAGAAGGCATTTTCTTATTGTAATTAGTATTCTATGTAAACAGGTATGTATGCATATATTTATATGCTATATAAAAATAGGGTTTTTTTTTTAAAATGTATTTGATAGAGGCAAGGAGCAAGCACGAGTGGGGAGGGCAGGGGGAGAGGGAAAGAATTTCAAGCAGACTCTGTGCTGAGTGTGGAGCCTGCCCTGGGCCTCTATCTCACGATCCTGAGATGATGACCTGAGCCGAAAGCAGGAGTTGGTTGCTTAACCGACTGAGCCACCCAGGCACCCCAGAAATAAGGATTTTTTTTAATACAGCATTGAAAAATACCTCCTATGCGTCAGCGTTTTAACAAATTAAACCCGTAACATTGCTAGTGAATCTGTGGTGCTGCCCTGTCCCCACTTTTTTCTTTTATTTTTTAAAATTTTAGTGATGCTCTATATTGTTCTTATAGTTTTTATGCTCAAGACACATAGGAGGATTGGAAATCATTATTTTCCCCCATTGACATTGCCAAAGTTTTCACCCAATCTCCCCCTCCCTTGGCTGTGTTCAGATACTGAAACAGTGAAGCCTGTTTTAAGTGGATTTAATATGCGACGTTATAATCTATGCCCAGTAAGAATTTTTTTAATGTAAACGTTATGATTTTGTGTAGCCAGCTTTTAGGAGACTGCTAATAATAGATCTTACTAGAAACAGATTAGATGGTCATATGTTATTTGGTTAAGTATTCTTTTGTGAATTCACCCTATGACTATAAATCTGGCCCTTTCTGATATCTGTTAATATTTAAAGAACATTAGAAAGAGAAATTGACTTTTTCGTTAAGAATGAAATTTGTCTTAGTCACATTTTTATAGACTTAAATATAGATATCTAGGTAAATGTAGTATTTGAGTGTGTATACGCACACATCGACTCGTTCTCAGACTGATTTAGTTTTTTATGACCTCTTTTGAAAAGCTGAACTAGTGATTTGTTTAAAAAACTACGTATCTTTTTAATAAGAAGAATTTCATTTCATTTTTTCTTCCTGAAGATTTGGCAGTATAGTTGCTTTGAGCCACTGGATACTACTATCAGTATTCTGTAATGAGAGCTGGATTTAGGGGTGAGAAAGCAGGTTCTGGATTAGAGCTAGTGAGCTTTCTCAAAGTCATGTAACTTGGCCCACTCACGTGGGTCAGGGAACTCGGGACCAGGAAAGTCAGGGTTAATTCCTAGTCCTGCCCAGCTTGTGCCTGGGACTTGAGTAAACCACGTAATCTTTTTTCTATAAAACATGGATGATGATTCTTGTCCTTACCCTCAATGGTTCTGAACTAGGCACCACCCTTGTAGGAGACACTGGGATGAGTTTCGGAGTATTTTTGTTTGTCATCATCGGGGAGCTACTTACCTTCCAGACCTAAGGAAGCCAGGGAGGCCAGCTGGCCTGCAGTGTGAGGGACAGTTGCACTGGATAAAGAGTTATTCTGTACAGACATCCAGAAATGCACTCTTGAGATACACTGACCAGCCCCTTGTGAGGGTCACGCACCGCCACGCACGTGGGAGCACTTTTAACTATGCGGGCACGTGCTCAACAAAGAGAAGACAGTGTCCTGCTCTACCACCTCCTTGTTAACTTTTCTTTTTCTCAAAGTGCATTTGGGAATATGATATATCCTTCGAATAACATTATGTTCCCTTTCAAGAGAAATTTGGATGCAGTGGTCCTTTCTTTTAAGGACGGCGTGGATCGTTTTCTGTCAGTTTCACTTGACTTTCATTATTTTTGTTTACTTTTGGCTGTAAGAAGCCTATTTCCAGAAGAATAGCAAATGTGATAAATGATACTCAGTGGACCACAGTATACAAAGCTGTTTCCTGCATTGAGACGGATGGTGAATGATGAGCCTTTTCCTGCTTCCTTAGGTCCCAGTGGGTCTTGTAAAGGAGGAGGACTTACGGACTATTTTGCTTCTCTTCTTCCCTGATCTCTTTACTATAAATAGTCTCCTTCCTTCCTTCTCTCTCTCTCTGGCTAAGAATATGGAGCCATTTTTGGGGGAGATATTTTCTGTGGCCCTCAACATGCTTTTTTAAGGTTCTCCAGAAACTAAATGGGTCAGAGAAAAGGACGTGGCCACATTTCTTTGTGACTTCATGAAGTTGATATGCGCTGAACTTTGGAGGAGGTTATATGTAAAGAAGTTAGAAGAAAGATATACATATTACATATAATATACATATTATGTCAACCTTTATTTAAAAAAAAAATCATTTGCCAATGAGTGGTTTATTTATTTTTTTTCATTACTTCTGAGTCAGAGTTTTATATGTGTGGTGTTGAGTCTAAGTAGAATCGCTTCTTTTTCAAAATCTTTATTTTAGGGGCACCTGGGTGGCTCTGATGGTGGGATGTCCACATTCAGCTCATATCATGATCTCCAGGTCCTGGAATCCAGCCCCACATCCGGCTCCCAGCTCAGTGGGGAGTCTGCTTCTCCCTCTCCCTCTGCCTTTCCCCCTGCTTGTGTCCTGTCTGTGTGTCTGTCTCTTTCAAATAAATAAATAAATAAATAAATCTTGGGAAAAAATCTTTATTTTATGAAACATGTTTTGAGAATTTGAGTGAAAGCTGTTTTTGGAATGATTTACCATTGTAAGTACTTTCAAATTACTGGAGAAATAATTCAGCAAAAAGAGGTGTTCAGTAAAATGCCTTCTTCTATGATGACATTGTTTGTTTTATTTTTAAACAGAGACAAAACATGGAGGACACAGAAACGGGAGGAAAGGAGGACTTTCTGGAAGTTCATTTTTCACGTGGTTTATGGTCATTGCATTGCTGGGCGTCTGGACTTCAGTAGCTGTCGTCTGGTTTGATCTTGTTGATTATGAGGAAGTTTTAGGTAAGGATTTTAGTATTGTTTCTTATTTGAGTTTGTAAGCATGAAAGACATCCTTTAGTAATCTTAAAAATTTATTATTATTTTGGGGGTAAGTTCTGTAGCCTTTCAGTTCTCAACAGTGCAGGAACAAAAGGGGATGTTACCGGGGTTCCCTGGGAGTAGTGGCTTTTCATCTTCTTTGAACATAATGTGTAGTAAAAATAAAAAATGAGTATTTATGTATGTATATCGCAAAGAAAAGTTTTATCAAATAGTGCTTAACTCTTAGGAAATGCAATACTGCATAATTTCTGTTCCATTGTATTATGTTATGAATTTTAAACATTATGAGCCACTGACCTTATGTCAGGACCCAATTTGCAAGACCGTACCTTAGAGAGCATTTAGAAGCACACCCCTTTGTCTTTGTTGGAATGAATCAGTGTGTGTGTGTGTGTGTGTGTGTGTGAGTGAGTGTGTGTGCGCACGTGCGTGTGTAGGTGCTTTCTGTATGCTGTTGGGGAGGTTGCCATGTTTTTTTCTGATAGTTGTCTTCCTTTCTTCTATTTTTCCTTTTCTCTCCCCATAATCACTGTAGTTTTTCATGACTTTTTACATTAATGATTCTTTACCATTTTTGGAGTCATACTTCGAAGTCACAGTCTTTTTTTAAAGTTGAGATAAAATTTACATAACGTAAAAATCAACATTCGTAATACGTGAAAATGTACAGTTTATTCTTTTTAATATATTCCTCATGATCTAATTCAGAATATTTCCATCACCCCATCTTCCCCTTTCCTGGCAGACACTAATACACTTTCTATGTCTATAATTTTCTTACTCTTGACATTTCCTATAAATAGAATCATACAATATGGGTCCTTTTGTGTCTGCCTTTTTGCATTTAGCATACTGTTTTCAGGGTTCAGTACTTACTGCATTTTACAGCTGAATAATATTCCATTGAATGGATATATACCACATTTTGCTTATCCATTCATCAGTGGTGGACCTTTGGGTTCTTTCTACTTTTTGGCTATTGTGAATATATGGTCTTCCTCCAATGATCCAGTGAAAAGTATGGGCCCTGTCACTGAAAAAAAATGCACGCTCCTCTAGATGTACCATGTCGCATCGAAAACCACCCCGCCTTCCATAAAGACCCTGCACTTCTGCTCTAGATGTTAGGTTATAGCCATCTTTCGGTGGGGGGAGACAAAACATGCTGATGGATAATCTGCCGTTTGTTGAAATTTTTCATTTTTCTTAAACGGGAGTGCTTCTGGATAGATGATAGAGTAATAAAGGAAGAATTTTAGTTCGGAGACAAACTTCTAAGTAGAAATCTGTGCTTTTGTTGACTTACACAGTGCTGTGTTGCTAGGGAACGTCTATTAGACAAATGAAGAGATTTAAAGTGTTTGTACTTTTAAGGGCAAGTTAACAATTTTCGTGTTTTTACATGCATGCAGCCAAAGCAAAGGACTTCCGTTATAACTTATCGGAGGTACTTCAAGGTAGGCTATTAGAGATACATTTTAAGTCTACTTGTTTTGGTCTCTAAAATCTCACCCTTATTCTACTAATTTAGTTATTCCCTGCATCTGAGAAAATAGGTGGTATAGGACCAATGTCCCCCTTTGAGTTTGTCAGAAAGTATGGTATTTTCTATCTTTTTAATGTTACTTGAGCTCTCTGCTATAGATCGCCTCCACTTGCTGATCAGCCCTTCTTATTTATATTTTCTTAGCCACAGAAATGATAACTTCCTTATCTCTCTGTTATTGTTATTGTAATTATTTTTATTTTTATTTTTTATTTTTTTATTTTTTAAGATTTTATTTATTTATTTGAGAGACAGAGATCACAAGTAGGCAGAGAGGCAGGCAGCAGGGAGCCTGATGTGGGACTTGATCCTAGGACCCTGGGATCATGATCTGAGCTGAAGGTGGAGGCTTTAACCCACTAAGCCACCCAGGCACCCCTTTATTTTTATTTTTAATGTGTATGTGTGTGTGTTTTATACCGGACCTCTACTTTGCTAGTTAACTGTTTTCCTAAGTAGAACGAGGGCTCTGGGAGGGTAAAGATTATGCATAGCCACTCTACTCCACAAGTTCTGCCTGCTCTCCTGCAGTGTTTTAACTTACATCTTATTAAAGAGTTGGGAACAGTGCTGCAGATTGGTTTTTTAGTACTAATGGCTCTATCTGTGGATGCTGTTAAAAACACTGCTGTATGTGATGTCTCCTCACAGCCGCTGTCCAGTGCTGGTTCTAAATGATGTTGATTTTAGAATGTTTTTTAAGGAATTGAATGTGTTTGACTTATGTTTGGAGTGCTAAACGTGGCAGTGCTCCTAGATGATAAAACCTTAAGATAACATTTTACTCTGCTTGAAGAGGAAAGGCTCTGGGAGTACTGTCTTCTCAAGTAATCTGTTTTAAGCTTTCTGTGTTTTTCTTGGTAGTAGATGGCCAGTGCTAGTTAAGGTTTTTTGTTTGTTTGTTGTTTTGTTTTTTTAAAGGCTTTTTAAAAAGTTTTTTATTTCTTAAAGATTTTATTTATTTATTTGACAGAGAGACAGAGAAAGGGAACACAAGCAGGGGAGTGGGAGAGAGAGAAGCAGGCTTCCTGCCAAGAATGGGACTTGATCCCAGGGCGCTGGGATCAGGACCTGAGCCAAAGGCAGATGCTTAATGACTGAGCCACCCAGGTGCCCCACTAGTTAAGTTTTTTTTTTTTTTTTTTTTTTTTTTAATTTTTTAAAGATTTTATTTATTTATTTGACAGAGAGAGATCACAAGTAGATGGAGAGGCAGGCGGAGAGAGAGAGAGGGAAGCAGGATCTCTGCCGAGCAGAGAACCCGATGCGGGACTCGATCCCAGGACCCTGAGATCATGACCTGAGCCGAAGGCAGCGGCTTAACCCACTGAGCCACCCAGGCGCCCCCCACTAGTTAAGTTTTAAGTGGGATAACTAAGATTATTTTTTTTTGTCATTTCAGGAAGCCAGTCTTATTAACTATATTTCCAGAAGTCTTTTTTTTTAAAGTTGATTGGTGATGTTTCTGTTATGAATTATTATTGTAAAATATAAAATTAATTGCCCTCATATTTTTAATACTTGATGTTATTTGTTTATATTTAGTCTTTATTTGAGGCTTGGTGGATGTTCTTTTTATTTTGAATATTGATGGTGGTGAGGAACTTTCATTACTGTAGAAGCATTACATTTTAATGTAACTGTTAGAAATCAAGAATGTTTCTTATATATGTGGAAATTTTTACCTCAACTATTTTTGGTAACATAATAAAAATTCATCTGAAACGATTAAATCAGGGGATTATTAAAACTTTAAGGAAGATATTATCTCAGTTATAGTTCTTAGATTATAAGGCGAACGTTTCCTGAATCTGTCAGTGAATCCTCTTATCATTTTTAGGTAAGATCTTCACTTAGCACTGCTTTTCAGGATTCAGAGAGCAAAGAATTGCATTGATTGGTAATATTTATGGTTGATGGTCAGGACTGCATTAAGGGGTAATACCTTATCAAACTTGTTTTCCCTTTTCTTCCCATCCATCTTTTCCTCCCTCTTGCAGGAAAACTAGGAGTCTATGATGCTGATGGTGATGGGGATTTTGATGTGGAAGATGCCAAAGTTTTACTAGGCAAGTAGATGTTTTCTTTTTTATTAGTGGTGGTAAAATGCTGGAACAAAACAGTATCTTTGCCTTGATAATATGTATGTCTAGTCACACACATTTTATGGATGATGTTTTCCCACTTCAATTCTGTATTTCATTCTTACTGAAATGGCTTAATTGTTTTTCCATGGACTTATATTTCAGCATACTTTTATAATAAATGGATAAGTATAGACCTCTTGCACATATATATTCAATAACCTAATTTCATATCTGTGTTCAGATTTAAAGTACTTCCTATTCTGAACTTAATATCTGAACATATAGATAATGTACTAGCCTGTTTTCAAAGATGGTAATTATAGCTACTCTTTAGCATCAGTTGACGTAATTCACTTCCATTTGAAACTATAAGTTTCTAAAGGCTTACGTAAATCCATTTTGAAATAAAATCACAGTAGCCAACATTTTAAAATGTCACCTGCATGTTTTAAAGGTAACATTAAAATATGAACCAGTAGTTTTTTTGGCCGGGTTTCATTGTTTTAGAAATCTTGAGCCCTTCTCTTTCTACCACCAGAATTACCTATCTTTATCATTGAGATATTTTGTGTAATGTATCAACATGTGATATTCCCTCATTTGTTTTAAAATGCTGCCTTCCTAGAAGGGATGATGCTGATTTTAATATGCAAGCTTTATGTAATCTGGCCTGGTGAGATGTGTGTTTCTGCTTGTTAAAGAGCATCACTTCCTTTTCTTTACTATTAGTAAAGAAGTGTATATTAGTATATTAGTATAGTATTAGTATTAGTATAGTAGTGTTACATGTATGCTATGTTACATGTATACTATTAATATAGTAGTGTTACATGTATTAAAATCTTATATACTAAAGTATTTAGAAAAATAACAAATACATCATGGTACTATATACCATGCTTACCAGAGTAATGGTGCAGAGAAATTCAACTTGGACCCACAATTTTGTGTTTATTTTATGGATATGAAAAAAATGAGAGGGTATCACATCTATAACCAATGAAACAATTTTTGGTAGATTAATCTTAACCTCCTTACAAATAGTAAGTTTTAAATATGGAAAAAAGGGTTTTAGTTGTGATTAAATGTAATTTAGCTTCTCAATTTTGACCTTAGTTTATGTTTTCTTATTACTTCTCAGTGGGAATTATGTTTGCTACTTAACAGTGGAAGCTTACTCTCAATGAAATTTTTTTTTTCCTGTCTTAATCTTAATGGAATTTTTTATGTAATTTTGTCATTACATATCTAAATTTTTCTTTGGATATAGTAAATCCTCAGAAGACTATAATCCTAGACATGAAAAAGAAGTAAGATATATAGAATTTAACCTATCAGAATGATGCTAATTTGCTTGCCTATAAGTGGTTTATTATTCCACTTACTACTTTGCTTTCAATGATGAATTCTGAATAGTGAACCTTGTTCATTTTGAAGATAACTTCATATGGGCCATGTTTCTTCACTTTTAGAAATAATATTCTCATCTGCTATATTTTGTTGTTTTTCTTTTCTTTCTTTTTTTTTTGGCTTAAAATCAGCTGTGTGGTCTGTCAGGAAATATCAACTATTAAAAATTGAAATGTTATTTCTTCTATAGACCACTAATTTTTCTATAGAAAAATTAGTAACTTGATTTTTAATATTTTAATAGATTATAAGAGTTTATTTCCTATAAGGTTTTTAAGCAACCATTAAGGTTGCTTAAAAGGTTAATTAATTGTAACTTCGAACATTGCCATTTGCAGTAGACATGATTTGGTACGGGCAAATCATAACTTTTTCCTTTTGCAAGAATTATATATTTGGAGTGAGAACCAAATTTGGTGAATCTCAGAGTTCATTTTGGTAATTTGACTATTAAATGCACGAAGGCTAAAGTAAATGATTTTATCATATTTTATCATATAAAGGTACTAATTCATAGTTAGCTTGTGGCTTCACAGTTAGCTGGAACAAACCAAAGGTGAGCTGTCAGGCTCACTTAAGTCCTCTGATCTTATTTCTGTAATAATTGAGTTCTCTGCATGAAATACAAGCTTGCCTGGAATTGAATTTTATGACAAAGGTCTTGCCTAGTTTTGTGAGGTTATTGTAGCTTAGTTGTGCCTCTGTTACTCGCAGGAGTTTGCAAAGAGAGCCTGGTGAAATTCTTAGAGTACAGAGACATTAATCGGCTCTGTATGTTCAGGGAGAGGTTATGCGGAAGCAAATTCAGTGAGTGTGTACCCAAAAAGAAGCCAGGCTTCCTCGGTGCATTCTCATTGGAGAGGCAGCTCAGAGGTGTAAGGGCTTTGGATTAAGGCACCAGGAAACCAAAGGGCAGATTCAGGTAGGAAGCTAGAGATTAGGGGAGAGCTTGTAGTAACTGTTGAAATAGCTGAGCTTGTAGTAACAGTTGAAATATGCTGAGCTTTACTATGTTCGACATTTCTTTCATGAGTATTTCCTTCTCATTCTTAAATTTGCATAATCTAAATCTTATCAATTTGAGGAAGTGTACACATTCATATTTATATTTCATATTTTAAGATTTGGCTTTTCTTTTGAAATACCAAGAGAATGAAATATGTGTGAGTAAATCAAGATATTCTGAACAGCCATCATTAATTTTATTTCATTGTTTCTGGCCATGGCCCTTATGATATACTTTGAAAATATTCTAAACCTTTCCTAGTTTACATAGCTTCCTACTTTTGTGGTCAAATTATTTAGAATAAATTATCTCTGATATCACTTTGGGTTATTGAAAACTACATTGTTGGAAATTGTATTCTTTGAAAACTTGTTTCCCAAATAAAATCAACAGGAAAATGGTCCAGGTACCAGTTGCTAAGAGTAACATCCTTTTCGAGTAATGCCATCCAAGGATTGCATGATTGTCCTTTTGTCCGTGACTAGCACCTTGCTGGCCCCATATCAGGTGTGGCTGGAGAACAAAAGGGAAGCCTGTCAACAATTCCTAGAACCTTGGTAAGCATTTGTAGACCAGACAGATGCATAAGTGAACTGGATCTTGTCCACTCAGAGATGCTCACGCCCTGCCCTTGGGGTCAGGCCTGCTCTTAGAGACTAAGGAATTACATACCCAGGGTAACTCCTTTTTCTCTTTGGTATTTGGTAGTATTTCTGTCTTAAGAACCACAGGAAGGTTGCATTGTTCAGGTACTTTTGCATATTTGTTGACTCCTTCAGCTTGTCATACTGAAGGCTGGTAAAGTTTTATATTTGATACTTAGAAGTACTAATATTTGAAAATAGAGAAAAAATAAGCATGTTTATTATAAATATACAGCTATAGTGTTGTGTGTGTGGTTTTTTTTTTTAAGATTTTATTTATTTATTTGATAGAGAGAGATCACAAGTAGGCAGAGAGGCAGGCAGAGGGAGAGGGGGAAGCAGGCTCCCTGCTGAGCAGAGAGCCTGATGTGGGGCTCTATCCCAGGACCCTGGGATCAGGACCTGAGCCGAAGGCAGAGGCTTAACCCACTGAGCCACCCAGGCACCCCAGTTATATATAATGTTTTAAGGCAGGAAGTAGAAAGAATGTTATTCCCACAGAGATTTCAGTGGGAATACAGATCTCCTCTGTTTTTATTTTTATTTATTTATTTATTTTAAAGATTTTATTTATTTATTTGACAGACAGAGATCACAAGTAGGCAGAGAGGCAGGCAGAGAGAGAGGAAGGGAAGCAGATTCCCTGCTGAGCAGAGAGCCCGTTGTAGGGCTCGATCCCAGGACCCTGGGATCATGACCTGAGCCGAAAGCAGAGGCTTTGACCCACTGAGCCACCCAGGCGCCCCCAGATCTCCTCTGTTCATAGTACTTGTCAGCCGTTAAATTCAGTGAAAAAATATTCCAGTTGTGTCAACAAGTAATTTAAATACCAAAAATACTAACTGGAGTTTGTTTTCTCCCCCGACCCCCATACTTGAACAAAGATATGGTGTAGTTCTTCTGTGCACTGAAGTGGGGAAAAAACACTGTATACTTTAATATTTATGCTAGCTGTCTTACTGTTGTACCTTACCTGCCAATCTTGATTCCTGGCTCTTATGCTACATGGAGAAATGTTGAGTTGCCAAAGCCCAGCCTACTGAATGAGGTGGTTATCATCAGGAAAGCTCTCAAGTCATGTTCACATTTCTTACAGGCAGAACTTTCTACCCTGTGTTTTTTCTCTTTCAGAATTACAGGTCTTGTTATATAGGGCTTGGCTGTATTGGTAGATTTTTATATTTACTGGGCTGAGAGATGTTTCTTACCCAAAGCCAGTTCTAAACAGGAAAAAAAAAAAGATAAAACCAATATATACTTTGTTTTCTTTACATCGTGGTGGCCCATTTTGGGAATAATATTTAAAAAAACAACAGGAGTCATGGATCTTTTTAGTCGAAGCTAATTTCTTGGGCTTATGGGAAGAGAGCTTTAAATATTCCTGTTGCAGATGACTGGCTGGAGCCTTGGTCAAATTTAATATTGGTTAGCAGAGTGAGTAGTAGCTAATAGCTGACTCTTACTGGTCAGAATTATAGGACCATGAGTAAGTAGCCAGAGCACTGGAAGGCTAACATTTGGTAGTGGGAACATTTGATTATCTGACATAATTTGAATAAATTTATATCCATCTGTGAATGCTATAAACAATAATCTTGCTAGTCATATTAGTCCCAGAGTTTCTTAAGTAAACTCTATATCTGAAGGGAAAAAGTGTGAGGAAATGAACCTTTTTATTTTCTTCAATGAATATTTATTGATATATGTAAATGCTTGTATAATCAACTCTCGATAATATCTGGTTGGTAAATCAGCAAACATGGAGGCTGTCCAGAAGGATCTTTTTACCCTCATATTACTTTTATTCATTCTTCCCATTGAAATTAATCAGTTGATTTTGGCTAATAGTTTTGTGTTTGGGGCTGTAGATTCTCTAATGAGGGAAAGGCAAACCTAGCTAGGGGCTCATAGGAGTGGCAGTGACTGGTTGAATAGTGCCTTTCCTGCAGTACATGATTGAGAGTTGATTGTAAGGTGTGGATCTTAATCAGTTTCTTTGTTTTCCGAAGTTACCTTTTCTGTTAACGTCTGTGACCATGATGCACGTCCTTTTTGAGATCACTCTTCCTCAACTTCTTTTTTCCACCTAACTGCTCTCCTTATTTTCTCTTTCTCTCTTCCTTTATTCTTATGTAGGCCTGACCAAAGATGGCAGTAATGAAAATATTGATTCTCTTGAGGAAGTCCTTAATATTTTAGCAGAGGAAAGTTCAGATTGGTTTTATGGTTTCCTCTCATTTCTCTATGATATAATGACTCCCTTTGAAATGCTAGAAGAAGAAGAAGAAGAAAGCGAAACCGCAGATGGTGTTGATGGTACGTCACAGAACGAAGGGGTTCAGGGCAAGACTTGTGTCATTTTGGATTTACATAACCAGTAACTTTGATTCAGGGACTGAAGTCATTGGCTTATGAAAACCTGCAGCAGTGTTCTGTTTCTTTCTTTCCTTTGCTCACCCAGGGCTTCACGAGCAGTGGGGCAGCTGTGATCAAACCGTATAAGGCAACCATGTGATCTTTCTCCCCAGTCCAGCTCCTAGCTAGTTCCTTGCTTGGCTCCCCCACTTCTAGTGAAGAAGGTGGCATTCCTCATTCTTGTAGTAGTCTGCAAAGTGCATTGAGAATGATATTCTTGGTGGTATAATTGGTTTCTGTATTGTTTTGTTTCAACTTATGTTGTATTCACAGCACTAAATTTAGAAACTTCATAGTAAATTGTTTTGTGATTAACCCTTGATGCTTGTCTTTCTAACACACTATTAATTGAGATGATTATAATGGACTTGATTATAAAAATGTTTCCAGCATGATTCATAAATTAAATGATTCTCTGTTGATCTTTAAGATGACTGATGTGTAAAGTGATGGTTCTTTAACACGCTGACATTTTTTATTGTAATCTGTTTAGGTTAACTGATTTGTCAGATAGGTTAATACAAATTTCAGTGTAAAATTCTGTACTAATGGTGCTTTTAAAATAATTTGAAAATAACCCCATGTTTTTGCCTTAGGGTAGTGAAACTACTGTATTCAGATGGTAGTAGGTCTGAATATTTGTCTATGAAAGCAAAATTTATTTTTAATTTTATTTCCAAATATACATCCAGAGAAAGTAATTTGTATTTTTTTTAAGCAGGCATATTACACAAGAGGGAAAATGTGAATATGTATCTTAAATAATGCTGTACATATTAAAATTATTCATCCTAAATAAGTCTTTTTTCATTTTTTTCCATGTATTTCCTTATTAAGTGGCTGTCACCTTTGGCTTAGGTAGAACAATGGTATTTAGATTTATAGATTTACTAAAGTGGTAATTCTTTTCAGGAGAATAAATTTTTTGCCATTTGAAGACCTTAAAAAACATTTTTGAATCAGTTCATTTAAAATGAGTTTGCTTCAGTAATAGCAAAAGGAATTATGTTAACCTTATATAACATGCATTCATAAAATGAGATTTCATCTGTTTCCTTACCGCTTGAAAGCTATTAGGACCTCTAGTTTCTGCTACCGTTTTAGGGAGTTCAGTTTTGTGTTTTTAAATCTCTGAGCCTCTAGGAAATTTAACTTGGCTTTGATTCCTCATTGAGCTTAAAATTTGAATATATTTCTATTTTTGAACATTTTATGTACTTAACTCTAGTAATTTTTCCTTTTCGAATATTCATTCCTTGCGTTTTAATATGTAACCAAGTTGCTTTCAGTAAGTGGAGAAGTCACCCATTTTTTTCAGAAGGGAACATGACAAATTTAGTTTCTCTGTTGGCAATCAGGATCCTAGGCTATCCAGCTATTTCTGTTTATTTGACCGAGATCACAAGTAAGCAAAGAGGCAGGCAGAGAGAGGAGGAAGCAGGCTCCCTGCTGAGCAGAGAGCCCAATGTGGGCTTCGATCCCCGGACCCTGGAATCATGATCTGAGCCAAAGGCAGAGGCTTAACCCACTGAGCCACCAGGCGCCCCCAGCTATTTGTAAGTATATATCGCAACTCAGCCATAGCCAGAGAGTTTAAAGTATCAAATGAGAACAGGGGAAACACATCCGTTTCCCCCTTGTTTCCCCTTTTGCTCACCACTTACATGTGTCAGAAGAAACTGCAACTTGCTCATCTTAAAAAGCATTATTTTAAAGCTACTTTTGCACACGTTGTACATTAGACAGTTATATGGCTAGTAAAACTCTAGTTTGTCTTTCCCTGATTACTCAGGGAGTATGTTTCATTCTGTTCATGTTTCTGACAGTGAAAAGCTTCAGATTTTGAAATATTAATATCCTGGAACACAAAAGTATGATTTTAGTAATGTTCTTTTTCAGAGTTTATGCAGTCTTTGTGCATATTGATTGTGTCTTCCACTCTGAGCCAGAGTACTGTGAAATATCAACTTTCATTAGGTTTAATTTAAAAAAAGTTTTGGGCCTCACTCAGTGAAATTCACATAGCCTTTTTGAGATCACTGAATGAGGTGGTTATCATCAGGAAAGCTCCAAGTGTCTGAGATGTATCTTTTAAAGCAGTCTTGTTTTTCTGTGCTTCATTACTACTAACTGGAGAAGATTTGTGATGAGTTTGAGAAGTAATGAACTAAATTTGCACGTTCAGATGTTTGCAGTCATTAATTTCTCATCGGGCTCTTTTTTTTTTGTCATGATAATGATACTAATGCACGTTTTATGTACAGAAATTAATTATGCTTTATTTTTGTAAGTGAAAAATAAGGACATGAAGACATAATTTTCTCTTTATCTAGTACCCCCCACTAGTCAGCCTTGTTGAAAAGTCTCTGAGGAAAGCAAAACCTAGGGAGCTGGTGAACCCCTGACTTCTGTGACTTCCTTCAACTTGTAGCAAAGACTTATTTTTGTGAGAAAAAAAATAAAGCTGTTTGCAAAACTAGTGTAGAGTATTTTGAAGCTGATCAAAATTACTTTGCTTAAATTTTATTTATTGTATCTTTATGATTTTTAATTTTTCAAAGGATTTATTGTATCATTTTCATTTCATAGTATAAATATTTCCCTAGCCTTTTGCCTTTTAAGCTTATTAGAAAGGCAAAATTCTGTACATTTGAGTATTGATTTGTAGTTGAATGGAGTTTTGAGTTGTATCACATTTACTCTGCTTTTCTAACTTAAAACACCCAGAACTTGGCAGCATGAACTCTCTATACAGATGTCATCTTGCCTCCTCAGACCTGGCCCGCTTGTTTCTTGAGACCCATTGCCATGTGTCCGGTTGTGTTCTCTGAAGTTTGGCTCAAAAACAAGAAAGTGGCACTCTGGGGATTTCTTTTCTGCACTGTAGCTTCCTTCAGGCCTGATTTTCTCCGAGACAGGAGTGGTGGGGTAGGAGTCAGTTGGAGAGCCGTCTTCTGGGTGCTGGTCGTATTGAATCCCTGAGGCCTCGCCGCCAGCTTGCTGTTTGGGAGAATCACGGCAATGCTTCGGGCATAATGGAATGCTGGGTGATCCTGCCTTTTCATCTTGTACTCGATTCTTCTGGGAATTACCTACCTGTCTCGTAGAGCTGTATCCGGACATGTGAGACAACTTTTCTGCTTGAATTCTGGTTTCTTTCTATTTACAGTTAGCTACACTGAATAAAACGTTGCTGTGTACCCTGACAAAGCTTTGGGGAATTCTCAAAAGCAACTGTAGGCATAGGCAACTATTCTTAATTTGATTGATTCCTTGGTAGATAACACCTTTTGGTAATTGGTATCATGATCTTTTCTTTTTTCTTTTTTTTTTTAAAGATTTTATTTATTTATTTGACAGACAGATCACAAGTAGGCAGAGAGGCAGGCTGAGAGAGAGAGGGAAGCAGGCTCCCTGCTGTACAAGAGCCCGATGCGGGGCTCGATCCCAAGACCCTGAGATCATGACCTGAGCTGAAGGCAGAGGCTTTAACCCACTGAGCCACCCAGGCGCCCCCATGATCTTTTCTAAATAAGATCCCGGTCTACAAAATAAGTAGTTTTCTGTGATTTGGGCTGTGGAATTTTCTTTGATTACAATGCATTATTTGGAGAGTTTTCATGAAATTCACTGACTCAGACTCTGTTAGCACAAGTTGATTGACAGAATTGTATGCCAAATTGTCTGCTTCTGATATTTATTGATCCTTATGTAACCAAGTGTAATACATGGGAGTAGATATTAACTAGACTGTGAGGTCCTGAAGTTAGGAACCAAGTCTTAGGCTTCATTTGAATCCCTCTTGAAACCTGAGTCCAACATAGAATATTTATTAAATATTTGCTGGGGTTATTAGTCTTGAGGAGTGATAACCTCAGAAGTTACCCATTGTCTAAGAAAACATGGATGGTTTTATTTTTTAAACCAACTTAAATAAGTGAAAAAATTATTGGACCTTTTTTTCCCCAAGAGAAATGACATTTTGAATTTCATATGGGAAACTGACCTATGCTAACTGATGTCTTTTGATGAGCTTTCTGGTGAGCTTTCCAGGGTCTTTTATCTTCCTATTTGAGTCTGCTTCTTCATGCAAACTTCCGGTCTCTGGATGTCATCCCTTCCTAAACTTGGAGTCATTCCCTTCTCTTATGTTCCAATCTTCCCTTCCCCACTTATTGTAGAATATTAGAAGGTTTGTAGCTTTCTTTTTTCAAAAATGTCTGTGATAATATTGTTACACCTCTATTTAAAGATAAAAAGGAAATTGATGTAATTAGTGCACTGGCATGCCTTTTAGCCAAACATTCTAGAGCAACAGTCTGCCTAGAGCAGAGAACTGTTACTGAGGCATTTGGGACCTTTCTTTTTATCGTTATTATAATTGTTATTTTTGCTATCTGTAGTCAGTGTTGAAATAAATTGTGATGGTTCAGTATGGGAAGGAGGAAGATGAGAAACTGAAGCTCAGGGTGACTCACAGGTCTCACCAGGGACTGTGGTTGTGATGGAAGTGACCAGAGTACTAAGTGATGATACCCAGCCAACCAGGTGTATGGCCAGCTCTCGGGAAACCTGTAGTAGCTACTTGGGTTTCTGTAACAGAGCCAGTCCTCTAAAATTATGTCCGTTGCACAGGTCCAACCATTGGCTTAATGATTCAGCATTTTAATTTCATCTTGAGAACATTTCATCTTGAAAATGTGTGTGGGATAGTGGCTCTGAGGCCATTGCCAAAATAACATTAATTACTCTTAGGCAACTCATATTTTAAGGGCAGAACATAAGACCTGTTTTTTTTAAATTCCTGTTAAAAAATTCTCAAAAAGCTAACAGAGCTATTAACATTGATTACCTTAAAAACCATCAGAGTAACCATACGGCGAAAGGAGGTAAAGAACATGATGATTACTTCTTTGCCATTCCCTTTGGCTGCAGCCACTTCTTGATGCTTTTTTGATGACTGCCTTCAGTTGGAATGTATTCTATCAACAAAAACAACTTTCATCTCAATGAGTTGCAGAATACCAAAGTGTTTCCCTTTCAGGCTTTGATTAATAAAATTTTCTATATACTATTTGGGAACTATTTTTAAGGAGTTACATTATATTGTCATGAATTTTATTGATTGACAAATTCCATCCCCCCCTTTTTTTTTTGGCTCTGGGCATTGGCTATCGTAGTAGGGAGAGAAAAATAGGGCCTGCTTGTTGATTTTTTGGCAGTAAAGGGAGTCCACATCAACCATAGTTACAAATTTAATTATGTCTATAATTAGGGATTATATAAAATTATATAAAAGCAAAATCTTACATACTTGCCTTGTGTTTTTCTCTGGGGCCACTTCTTCTCTAATGTCCCCAACTTTTTTTTTTTTTTTTTTAAATTTTCCTCTATATCCTGGATCACCACTAACTCCTTCACCATTGGGCTTCACGTCGTTTATGGAAAAAGATCTATTCTAAATTTACCCAAACTGAGCCTGTGTAAGGGGCTCACTGCAGTGACAGAGTTATTCTTTTTAGTATGTGTTCAAAACCTTTCCCATGATCTTCCGTCTTCCAGGGTCACTTTATTCTTCTGGAAAGATATTTTGCTCTCTGCTTACCAAGATAGTCATCTTTGGCTTCAGTTCCATTGTCTTCCTCTTGGTACACTTTACAGCATTTCTTTATTCTCAGAATTTTCTTCATTGTTTCCTGTCATTGATCATTTTTGCAGATGTTGCGTCTTCTGGTTTCTCAAGTTAAGTCTTTACCTGCATCTC